CAGCTCTGCAGCAGTTACAGGAAATCCTTATCTCCAAGTCTAGCTAAAGCTCAGAAGCAGAGCAGCTTTGTGTCAGACAGCTACCAGTCAACACTGACAGCTTATAATGTGATGAATGCTTTTTTTTTAATGGCAGACAATTAGAAAGATCGGCATGGCAAATTAGATTTTAATGTTATATATTATCACAAATTAGGCCATATTTTTAAATAATACACATTATTACTTATTTATTTATTTTATTTTATTCATAACTTTCTTCCAATTTCCCAGGTGGTGGGTGGGACTCAGTACCATGACCTACATAATTAAAATTTTTCAAATAAAGTTTATCTTCTTGGAACACACTAGTAAAGGATTAGTAAAACAAATGTGTTTGTCGATCCTTTTTCTTTCCCCTGAAGATAGTCCAAAGGCAGAGTGCAGTATCTGTCTTTAACTGTATAATGTCTTTGGGTTTAAAGTAATTGGCTTAAAAAGGCATCTAAAATCTAAACTTTGCAAGTTAAAATTTCACTCGGCCAGCCAAAAAATTTCATCCATCACCTTTGCACTATGGTACTGCCTGGTGTAGCCACCAGCCAAAATAGAAAGAACACTGTGTACAAAAGTCATACCACGCCCGGTTGTCTGCAGACAAATTCCCCTACATTCACAGATGATTCAAACATGGTTTTCGTTTTATTAACAGACAATCAGGTGACTTCTTGGAAGCATATTGTGTTGACCCTCCCCCCCATGCACTAGGTGTCACTGTTCGTGTTCCTGGTCACCGGCTGCATGAGGCACACCAGAGGCCTGCACTCTACAAAGCAGGATTTTTGGTTTGTGACGTAACTTCAGGACTAACTGTAGGTTTTCAGAACTATGGAGCTGGTTCCCTTCTTACCAGAGCAAATCACCATGGTAACTTATTCTGATCAGCTAACCTGCCTGCAGCAAGTATACAACAGAGAAGGCCTACATGATAGAAATCAACATTCTTCTGTTTTATTTTAATTTAAAAGCTTTCCTTTATTTCATTGTATTCGATTTGATGAATGAGTGTGCATAGCACTCTAACTGAGGTATAAGTGCTCTTAGTTTAAGTCTTATCATTATACTCCACATGTGGCAAAACAAACTCCTAAAGAACTGGGACTATGTTATTGAGTTTCAGTTTTGAATTATATTGCTTGGTAACCATTTTAATAAAGAGAATACAAACCAAACTTGCTCCTGATCCAGAAACAACAGCTCTTTTCCTCAGTCAATGGGTGTTTCTCAAAGTCAAGGAAGGATCCTTAAATGGCTGAATTTTAAGGAGTCTACCTTATCAAATCCCGACTAAGGACTGTTTCAATGTCAAGGATTCATCAAATTCTACTGAGGGCTGAGGGTGTTTCTCAAAGTCAAGGATCCTCCCAAGTGGTCTCTCTATTTTCCCTAAAACACTGCTACATTTGTTCAAATTGTACAACAACATTAGAGAGTGCCAAAATTATCACAGTACCCTGAAAACCCCTCAGTCTGCTGAGCCGAGGGACACTTGTTAGCCTGTTACAATGTGTTTTCATCGAATGCTAGGAAGGACTCTTGCCTTGTCTCTGTAGGATCCCTCCTTGGAAGGACTTGTCCTACCAAGGAGGGATCATTGACTTTGAGAAACATCAAAGAGTCTGTACAAGCTTCTGCCATTTGCTGGACAAATAACGTTACAACACTTCATGCAGGAAAGTCAGCAACTGTGAAAACACCTAAAGACAGTTTGCATGTTACTCACATTCACCGGTGTGTATGTGTGTATTAGATAATATGTGCACAATGTTAGAGCCCCTGACTGTACACCCAGGTTTCTCTGCAGTCACCGTTTCGTTAGTCTCGTTCACCAGACCTTTCTCAAGAAAAGAAAGGTCTGGCTGGGCCGACTCTCACTTTAAGATTGGAGAAAAAAACACCCCGGCTGCTTGTATTTCTTTCAACCAATCACAGTCGTTCTTGGTGGTGCCACAGCAACGGCGCGCTTGCAAAAATATTGCCGGAGGGAAACAGGTTTTGGTATAACACGCCCACAAAAATATTGCCTACAGGACGCGAACCATGGCAGAAAAATGGCTACATCCCCGCAAGATCAAAGACCGCAAAAGTTAGTAAAGGACGTGTTGAAAACTGCAACCGGAGGTGGTAGGGTGGGACTTCAGCGGGTGGCTCGTTCCGCCCAATGAGAGGCTGATCTATGCAGCGAACTTCTGCTCGCTCAGACTATCGTTTCGTTGACTCAAAAAAAAAAGCACAGTCCCTCTGTAGCCACCAGATGGCACTGTCTGGTCAACAAAGGTTTGAAAGCACACTTCATTGCAAGTCCTTCAGCCTTTATCTTTAAACCAAGAGTGCCATGTGGTGGGGTCAGAAAATAAAGAAAGTGGTTGATCAGGCTTCATTTGGCCATCACTGCCTCTCAATGTTCAGCTGCTGTCCATCTACCCAGCCAACATTTGTATGTGGGGCCCATGTGGATAGTAAATGGGCCAAAAAATGGGCCCTATATTGGATTGTACATGTGTTCCATATTGGCTCTATGGCATTTGCCCACATGGGTGGGTTTACCCAAGTGGGCCCCAGATAAGATGCCCATTATGGACCCATGCCCACTTTGTACCCAGGTAGCCCCAGAATGACCCATGTGGAGCCCACTTCGGCAATCTGCATGGGGCCAATATGGAACATGTGGACAATCCAATATAGGGCCCATTTTTTATTTACTACCCACATGGGACCCACATACAAATGTTAGCTGGGTGCAGCTGACAGTTAATTATGGTTTATGGCAACAATTGTGACTCAAGATTTGCTTGCAGTTATGTCACAGCACGGTTTTGAAATGCTCTACACCAGGGGTGTCAAACTCATTTTAGTTCAGGGTCCACATACAGTCCAATTTGTAAAATACAGAAATTGGTTCATGAGGCTTCATTTGGCCATCACTAGTTGTGGCCCCTGGGCCGTATGTTTGACACCCCTGCTCTACATTAGATGCTTATCCTCCACAAGGCCACACTTTGGCCTGCTGATGACAAACCTGATCTTGGGGTCAAATCTTTTCACCCTTGTTCAAGCCACATTTAACTGTAATGCAAATATATAACTTATGTTTGCGTTGCCTGATTATGTCTCCACTTAAACAATCATCATTTGACTAAACTACATTTTAAGATGCAATTATACCTTGTAAGAAAACCTTGAAAATCCTGGTCAGTTGATGGAGTTATTTTATTTTTATTTTAGTGTGTATGTGCATATTTCTACAGGTTGACTTTCAATAAAGACCTTTTAGTAATGCAGCGTTCTGCAGTGGAAACATTTGCCTAATTGCTGCCTGAGTTGTCTGTTAAATGTAGACATAATCCGATTGCTTTTCAGAAAATGTTTTAAGAATGAAGTGTTAATCTAGGTCTTGCCTGTGTTTGCTTTTCATGTTACTTGTCACACTCTAAGAAGCTGCTGTGTGTCTGAGGTAGGTGTTGGTCAATTAATAAAACACTGCAGTGTTTCCTCATTTGTCAGCACACAACTTCAGCACATCAACACTCCTGGACCACACCGCCCGGTTGAGCTGGGCGAGGACAACCGGTCGGTTTGCATTGAGATGGAAAGGTACTGATTTCTGTCAAGCCCACACAGTCAGGAAGAAACCGGAAGTAGTGTGGTTTTCTCTTCAACACACTTACTGTTGTCTGTCAAAAATAGTGTTGCTGCTAATAGGTACTGATTTTTAAGAAGTTATTATTATTATCATTACTACTACTACTGGAAAAATAAAAGTAATAATAATAATCATAATTTTATAAAAATCATAAATGTTGTAAATACAAATTAAAATTTTGTTAGTCTACTAGAATAATAAAATCAATTACTTTTCTGAGTCCACTAGTCCACTAGTCATTTTACTGCAATAAAATGATTGAAGTGAGATGATTGGACTAAAAAAATGTTACCTTATTAGATAAAACACATTTTGACTGCATTTTTCTTTAGGGACTTCATTTACAGTTAAATGAAGGCAATAAGTTGCATTATATATTATCCAAATACTCAACATGTCACAAAAGTGTATTTTGTTTATTGCCATAATATTGTGTCATGACATAAGTATTGTGATAATATCGTATCTGGGGCCTTTGGTGATAGTCACTCCTAGTGGATAATTAAATGTTATGGTTAAGAAAAAATTCTTAAATATTTAAAGTAACACAAAACTTCACCTGAATGGGTGATTTCAATTTTATGTTAGCAACTTTTTTTTTATTGTTTTAACAGAAAGCAAACAACTCCTGGCATCAAGCAGTCCATATTTATATAGCCTTAGTAAATCAACTGAAGAAGAAAATAAATTGATTAAGAGGATAGTAATAATAATAAAAGTAATAATAATACTTTTAAGACAAATCTTAAAATGTACATGTTTTCAATGACCTTTGGTTGTTTGTAGTGGTTTTAATATTTTTGTATTTTGATATGTTTTTTACATATGTAATTGTACGTACTGGTGTTATTCTGTTTTGTATTTGTTTACATGTTATATTGATATATATTTGTGTGCCATTTTTAAAATTTGCACAGCACTTTGGTCAACTTTGGTTGTTGTTAAATGTGCTATATAAATGAACTTGATTTGATTTATTAATAATAATAATAATAATAAAATAACAAACTACATGTAATAACATTAAATTAAATTAAAAATAAAATTGAATAAAATAAAATAAAGTAAAACAAAAAAATAAAATAAAATTAATAAAAAATAGAAATAATAAATAAAAAGAAGAGAAAAAAATCTATTTTGAATAAAAGATGAAAAAATGAGCAATAAATAGGTTAAGGGAAGCCTGAGAATAAGCTTCCTCAAGTGCAGACTTTTATTTTGAAATTTCCAATACCGGATGTTTAGATACTCTTCGCAACTGACTTGACAGCACAGGTGCGTCAAAGTGGGAGCTAATTACCAACCTGCGTCCTGTCAATGCCGCGGACACACCGACACGTTTTAATGCAAAAGAAGCTTTATTATCATCCTTAATTTAATCTGTAGGAAATAATAATCAGATTTTAATTTATTATCAAATATAAAACCAACTTCACTGATCATGAGAGGAACTGCAGCCACGGTAAGTCTTCACTTACATCTCAAATGAAGTGTGCGATTGATGCAACCTAATGTTTAAGTTTTTTTTTGGAAGACTGAGCATGTTTGAAACTCGGTTATTAATTTTATTTTAATAATATAAATGTTTATTAGGAGAATGATGCGGAGGCGGATGATGTTGGAGGGAGTGGGGGAAGACGACCTGTGAGTATTCCTTAAATTAAGTCTGTGGTGAAAACGTGATGGTTGCATGTTTGTGTGAAGAATGTCTGACCCTCATATATGCCAGCAAACAATGCACCCAGTGCCTAAATTCCACCCTCCTCTTCCCACGTGTTACATATTTGACATTTTATCTGCAAACAGGTGAACAAGCTAAGTGTGTTTACTGCTGGGTCACTGTGTGTTGGCATCTATGGCTGCTGATGCATATTTTGGATGTATGTGATCAAGGCCAACAGGCTGGATAACCAAACCCAGAGTGTTGTGTTGTCAGCTGCTGTGAATGTCCTCAGCACTGTCATGTATGTGACTGATGGCTGTTATTGTATAACTACAGAACAGAGAGAACCTGCTCTTGTCACACTATGGCTCGACTTCAGCACGTCTGTGCTTTCTTACCAGACTACAGCAAGTAAAATATGTATGCTCAAATATAAGTACAATTAAATAATTTAGCTATAGGGCTGTCAAGTTATTTTATAAAATTAATCTAATTAAAGACATGCTCTGTGATCAATTAATCTAAATTAATCGCATAAATTAGTTTTTGCTGTGAAAGTATTTTAAAAAATTCAATTCAAATGAATTTTGGCAGATGTCGGAATGAAAATTGAGCTGATATTTCAGGCTTGAAATACTCCCATCAACAGTTCCATCTGGGCGTTTCTTAAATGTAAATGTTCCACCGACGGGGTCGTCTCGTCTGCCTTTATCATGTAGCAAAGCCACTGTGGCCTTCAGTGACACACCGGGTCAACGGCCACCATAGAGCATGATTAATCAGTGTAATTTTTTTTTAACCTGTTATTTTTTCTGTGATTAATTAATAGAAATTAACGTATTGTTTTGACAGCCCTAAAGTTGATACTTTAGTTAATAGAAAAGCATCAAAGGTGCTCCCTCTGGAGAACCTTTGATGTTAGGTATGACTCTAAAGACACAGCTCACCCTAAAATCAGAAATACATACTATAAAACTTCAATTAAAAGATTAGTCCCAATTAGAACCCTGGTCTTGTTGCCAAGCAGTTCATTTTTTTATAGAAGTTCTTCAAATGTATAAAATCAGGTTGTTGGCTACTGTTACCCTGTAAATATTTTATATATAAGGGTCCTCAGATCAGTCAGAAAGAATCAAAAGGGTTTTTCAAAGAAATTAATCCAAGTTGTGAGTATTGTTTTAACAGGATGAAGTGGGGTTGTGTCAGTAATCCGTAATCCTCAAGTGCCCTAACTCTCTGATGCCCTGTCTGTCAGAGCTAGATCAAATGAATGATTCATGATTAATATATTATCTGAAGCCTAATTTCTAACCAAGTAGTATTCATATTGGTTTAAATGAACAATTTGGCACTAGCGCACCTGGTAGAGCAGGCGCTCATGTACAAAGGCTGTGTCCGTGCCACAGCAACCCCAGGATTCAATTCCAACTTACAGCCCTCTGCTACATGTCATTCATTGAAGTTTTACAGTATGTTTCCTCTTACCTGCAGTGCTTCATGTCAGTCTAGATTGTGTTAGTGTCTCCAATATAATGCAACTAGATGGCACTCATCTTGTGATGCTCAAAAGTGAGAAAAAAAACCCCCCATCCAAACCATCACCACTGGTCCCACCTGACCCTAATGACTCACATGTTGGCCAGGTGGGTCAACGACTCACATTGTGACCTTAGCGACTCTGAAACTAAGAGCACATGTGACCCCTACGACTCTGCAAGGGTTCCCACCCACACAGGGTTTATAGTCTGCAATTTCGTACCAGTCATTTAGAACTGAAGAAGCTTCTTGGATGAGAGGCGAAACATCTTCATGAAATGCAAGCAAGTCCAGTTGCCTATGCTATTAGCACGATTACCATGACCTGAATGACTGAGAATCTTCACCGACAACATCCGTAAAACTCAACAGCAATGTCTCCTAACAGAAATCATGATATGGGATCTTCTTTGTTAAACAATGCCTAGGATCAACAACGTTTCGACAATTTCTACAATCAGGCTTCCACCTCACGATTTGTGTCGCCAATTTCCCGTCTCCAAAATGTTCGTAAGCATGGGTCAAAGTTTCTCCAAATTAAGTCTGTTTTTGTAGATCACAACTTTTGCATGGGAAGAAGGCATACGCTTCTTTCAGGCCTCGTTATGTGCGTTTGCAATGTTAATAAATTAGACCCCTGGTCTTATTTATTAGACCATGTAAGACCAAGTTGGCAAATATTGTCAAATCGTCAAATTTGTTTTTGCACATGCCATTTTTGGGTTTTGTCTGTATGTTCATTTTAAGTATGGATCCTATGCATTGATTCATAAATGAGACCCCAGGTGCCTGGAGCACCACAAGCCGAATGCTGTCTAGCGCCCTTACATTGGCGAGAAGGCCGATATCTCCAACACTCTGCAACTCACAACAAAATAATCTAGACTGATAAAACACACTGCAGGTAGGAGGAAGAATATATATTTTTTATTTTGGAGTGACCTGTCCCTTTAATGTCGATGCTTTATGGAACTAGTTCATGTATGCTGAGTATTTTAGACATATGTTTTATTTTAAAGAATACAGCAGGTGCCCTCTGCATTAAAGTCTCACAAAATGGAGTACAATCAATGTCTCAAAATAGCGTACTTTCTGCACAGGGCAGGTGTGTTTCCACCTCTGGAGATGGAAACAATCAGACACAATATTTTACTGCAGCATTAGGCAATAACAGTTGTTTAAACTACCCTATGTTTAATTGAACTTATTGTAATACAATAAAAAAGTACATGCACAGTGGGGCTAGAGCTCTGTCAACTGTTTTCGCACTGTATCCATCCATTCCTGTTGATAGGTCTGGTATTTAACCAAATTGAACTCATGAGTCGAGCCTATGTCATCAGCAGTCAGTCGCAGTACAAAATTACAAACCATCTCTTATGTCCACTCTGTTTTTGAATTTCAAACACACATTTTTTAAATAGCAACTTATACATTAGCTTCCTTTATGATAATGTAATTTATTTTTATTTTTCTCATTCTCTCCCAGACTCTTGTTTCATCACCCTTGGACACCAGTGAATCATCTGCGAACGATTCTCAAAACAAACAGGTGAGATCAGTGGTTCCCAACTGGTCCAGCCACAGGATCCAGATTGCCCGTGTGTCATTACTTCAAGGTCCACAAAGTATAATACATTCAGCATCATGCTTGTGTTTGGCCTTGTTGTTCAGATAGCTTGCTGTCTCTGTTAAGTAGCTGCCTGTTATTCGCTCACACTTCAGCAAGAAACGGCACTTCAGAATAAAAGCCTGTGCTGGAAATTCACTGTACTTCAAAATCAAGTGTGTTTTCTTCTAGAGCCACCTCCCTTTAAAATGCATTGGTCTAAATCTTCAAAAGGCAATGAGATATCACCAAGCTTCTGATAACTTTTGATAAGCTTGCTGCAATAATGATCCACAGAAAATTGGGTACAAATCGGGCCTACGGTTTTTACAGTGTTTTTCAAAGAAATCAAAATGGTGAAGAATCTATGCAGGCGGACCTGAATGGTTGTTGAGGCTTTTTTGTAGAGCACATTGAGCTGGGCTTGTGTGTTCAATTTAAGGTCAATCTGATTTACGGTGCCTCTCCAACGTTGCATTTTTGGGCCTGAATTACAGTGCCGATCAGGCCAACTGGGGGTCACCATATTTCTTGGGCAGCATTTGCACACAACTTCCAATCGTTGGTGAAAATTTCACATGTCCATGATTTACCATATCATCGGAATTTGTGACAACATTTCTGAAGAAAAAAAAATGAACTTAAAACAATAGGGTTTCAATAATTTTGTCTTGAACCCATAATTATAGATCTCTTTAGGAAATAAGATGGATTTGGGGCATTTGAGAAATTCCAAATTCGCCACCGGACAGCAGGTGTAGAAGTGCCTGCATTATCATTTCAACAATCAGGAGTGCTGTCAAATTTTTGTTTACATTCCTGAAAGGCATAATGCATGGAAAGCATGATGTGTAACTTCCCACGCTTCCCTCCACAAATGTTTTTTTGTGTGGTTCTCAGGATGGTGAGTTCCTCAGTGATCTCTCAGCTGCTGCAGACAGCAACAAGCTACACCTAGGACAGGTAAGATTCAACATCTACAGCATGCACACTGACGTAGGGTACAACTGAGAGAAATTACACCCAAGACTCAGCTAAATGCCTCGAACTTGTCACATGAAATTGATCATTTTTAAGTATTTGCTCAGCATTCATGATGCTGTTGTTGGCAACAGGCTATTCATATTGTCAGATTCAGAACGGCTTAAAGACAGATAAGTATCTTAATCCTTCTGTGGCACAGGTGAAACCCACACCCTGTTTCTTGTTTTGTTCTTTTGAAGTACAATCTGACTACTTGTTATTGTACTTTGTAGGTAGGTGCATTTGTGTGTAGGCAGATTGCCTGACTGGACTTTTCTATTAATAAGTCTATCAGTATGTCAACATGTGAAAGGGATGGAGTGAGCTCACTGTGTTGAAAGTCAACAAATGAGGCAATAGAAAAAGTGTCATCTGCCACATTAGTTGATAAAATTTTGAATATATACTATCTGAAAGCTTTTGTTGTACATTTTTTGGTTTGTGCCCACCCCTGCATTGATAGATATACCATTTTGTCTTGAGCAGTCCTTGAGACAAAGAGTTAATTTCATATTTTGTTCATGGCTCCACCCATCAATTATTCAACATGTAACATTTCTGCTCTGTCACTGTCTGATTATTTCAGAATGGAGGGCAGGAACTGCTCCATTTAAATCCTCAGGTATGTTTTTAGATGCCTGCTTAGCCCGCAGATTGAGCGCTTTGGTAACAATCCAAGTGAAATCTAACACCTCTTCTGTCTCATTTCCTTTTCTTTGTTTATCAGAATGGAGTCAATGGGGGTTTGGCCAGAATTAACCCTTTTTATACTTATTATTTGGTATATACAAGGACTTCTGTTTTTAAAAACCAGATCAGAACATTACATTAAGTACTCGTATTTTCATTCAGCATATCCCAAATGACCCTGTGTTCTGTTATCAGGAATCTAGCGGCAAAGATCACATAATGGAGGACGTTGTGAAGGAGACTTCAAATGAAGTAAACCTTGATACCATCTTTGTCCCTCCACCTGAATTTCAGAATTCACCTCTGGATCTTCAGCCTGAAATGAAGACCTTGGAAAATGGAGCTGAATTTTCTCAACTTCCGAAGGACCCATTCCAGACCCTTACCCCCAACCTAATGCAAGGTGGCTTCCAGACACCGACACTGGCCCAAAATGCTTCTGCCAATGGCCACTTTGTGGACGTAACCCTGAACTCACCAGACTTATTTAAGCCAGTTACAGCTCAAACACAGAACTTCTCCAAAACCTCTGACCTGTTTAAAGATGAAGAGGTCGATCCTTTCAAGGCTGCTAGTGAGGTTAACCTCTTTGATAAATCTCCCAGTAGTTTTGTAAACCCATTCAGATCTCCTTTAAACAAGGACGATCCGTTCCAGTCTCCACAGACAATGGTGAACACATTCGAAACTACCACAACCAAAGAAGGGGATTTGTTTCAAACAAGTCCAAAGGAAAGTGAGGAACTCTTCCACACCAGGGAAAGCAAACAAGATCCCTCAACAAAAGATGACCTTTTTGGCAAGCCTTTGTCCAAACAAAATCTGGATATATTTTCATCTTCATCCATGAATTCAATCGACCCATTCCCAAGCCCAATTGCAAGGGATTTATTCCAAGACGTTTCCAGTTCGGATGACCCGTTTGGTACTACACCCTCAAGACAATATGACCCTTTCCAAGATGTTTCACCTGGGACTCCAGACATCTTCCAACCACTTCCCTCGAAGACTAACAGCAGTGACATATTTGGGATAACCCCCAGCATTACGGCCTCTAAGGCCACATTCTCTACACCTATACTTAACAGCCCATCAGAAGAGAAGTTGGACATGCTATCGTCACCAGATCTCTTTAAGGCAACTCCTTCAGAATCTCACCCAGCCATCCAACCCAAGTTGCCCGACGAGCCACATGATATTTTCTTGACGACTCCTCAAGGAACCGAACATGATATTCTTCAGCCATCTCCCTTTACTCGGGCCAGGAATCTGTCCATGTCTTTTGGAAGATCTCCACCTGAGATTACTCATGTATGTAATAAGTGCCACTTCGTCCCGCCATAACGTAGGATGCATCTAGTAGACAAATCTGATTATTATGGCGTTCATTTTACACTTTTTTTGTAATCAAACTTGCAGGTGCCAACCTTTAAACGTCCTCCAAAGCCACTTCCTCGATCTAGACCACCAAGGCCAAACAAACCACTCATGCCGGAAAAACCACCAAAACCAGAGAGACCACCCACACCAGCAAAACCTGTATGCAAAGAACACTTCTAACTCACTAATTTATCTGAAACTTCATCTGCTGTGCTGTTAATGACATTTTTAACCTCTTTTGGGTTGTTTAGATGGAACCTGAACCAACTGTACCAAAAACCTCTCCAAAACCAGCCCTCAGATTGCTCCCAAAGCCAGTTATTCCTCGCAGACCAAAAACTCCAGTAAGCGTGCTGTAGAAACTTGACCTTATTAGCAACAAGATGTCCTAGGATATTTTTAGTCCAAATATCTAATGAGGAACAATGTGAAAGGTCACGTGTGGGTAATTTCAGATTGGAACATCATCTTTCTGTGATTGTGAATGGGTCGTGTTTTAATTTTTTTTTTTTTTTTTTTTTTTTAACAGGAAAGTAAACCAGTGGAACCTGTTGTCTACGAGGACATCCTGCTTATTGGACAGGTGAGTTTAAGAGACGGGGATTTCCAGTATTCATTACCTAATGTATAAAGTAAATTTGATTAAATAAAAAAAAGTTTTAATTTTTATTATTATTATTTTTATTACTATTATTACTTAAATAAGTATTTGATTAATTAAATTATTATTTGTTTAATTTAATTTATTTATTTTAAATTCTGATTAACAAATTTATCAGACGAAAAAGTCACCAATAAAAAGAGAGAAACATTGTGTAAAGCTTGAACGATAAATTGTACTTCCCCATTTTCGTATACCTGCCACTACAGACACAAAGAATGCAGAGTATCTTGAGAGAGACCTGCACCTCTTTCCCTCTTTCTCAAACTCGGACCAAACTCAGATTCTTAAAACTAAGCAACTCTAATAAACCAAGATTTTGTAACTGTATTGCCTATTTCCCACCTAAAATGTCTTCAGAAACATATTTTAGTGCACTGTTTAGCTGTATTATGAGAATCTGTGAACAGGAAGTGAGCGCCAAACTATTTCCAAGCTCGCTTTACGTCACTCAGCAGCAGGGGTGTTTATCTCTGGTCATGTGGCACCAATTTTGAAAGTATTTGTGTCTGTCTGCTGCGTAGATAGCCCAGTTTTATGGAAAGACCATCTTGCCTGCAGTGAAATGCCTTTTTAATTCAGTGGCATTCTGATTTTGACATGTGTGAAGCAAGAGGAAAGTTTAGCCATCAAGGGTCAATATATCTCCTCTGGAAAAAAGCTTTGGATGAATGGACATATTGTTAAACCGACCATTGTCACCACTTCTATACCCTGCTGCTATTGGGCCATAATTGTATTCTGGATTGTTATGGAATCTTTTAGGAGAGCTAGAAGTGTCTAATATAAATGTTTGCTTTACTAAAATCCCACAACAGGAAAAGTGTGTAGAGGACTGGCCTGAAGACAGCCCTCAGCTCAACCCTGACTTCAAACCAGTAAGAAAACATTTTCAAAAACACGTTGGCACACTACCTAAAACTTTCAGCCACCTTCTCTGTGCAAAATGAACCATCTGCCAAAGACATTTCAGCCACTAAATTTTGTTTTTTTTTTCCTTTTTACCACAAGTCTGGAACACTAAGACTACGCCGAGAATCACTGAAAGTAAGAGACAAACTATTTCTCTAGTTAGCATTGTTTGCTTGTAACCAGAAAGACGACGTTAAAATAGCTTGTGTCTCTTAGAAAAAGGTGGACTCTGATGGAGGAAGTGGCGAGGATAAGGATGTCTCTGGGAGTCACAGCAAGGTGCAAACTTACAATCTCACTCATCAGCCACTGGTCAGGCATTCTGTGGTTGTTATCAAGTATATCGTTTAAAGGGACAGTTCGCCCCAAAATCAAAAATACATATTCTCCCTCTTACCTGTAGTGCTAGTTATCAGTCTAGATTGATTTGGTATGAGTTGCTGAGTGTTGGCGAGATTGGCCATAGAGGTGTCTGCCTTCTTTTTAATAAAATGGAACTAGATGGCACTCGCCTTGTGGTGCTCAAAGCACCAAAAAAATACATTCCAAAACCTAAACAGCAATGTCTCTTTCCAGAAATCATGACCAGTTTTTGTGAGCAGTTACCTGAGCGGGCTATAACGTTAGTTAGCTTAGTGGTGCTAGGTGAGCTAGCAGTAGATGCACGCTTCCTTTTGCGCTGTGATATGGTTGGCAGGTATACCTCCATAGAAAGGAAATAGTTCCTACTTGAAACTGCTCACAACAAGGTCTGTGGATTATCTTGAGTAACCAGGTCATGATTTTTTGAAAAGAGACACTTCCACTGAGTTTCTCAAATGTATTTTTTGGGTGCTTTGAGCACCACAAGCCGAGTGCCATCTAGTTCCGTTATATAGGAGAGAAGGCAGACACCTCTACAACCGGTATCTGCAACTCTCAACAACTCACACCAGAACAATCTAGACTGACAAATAGCACTGCAGGTGAGAGGAAAAATACGTGATTTTTTTTCTGTAAAATTCATTTTCATTTATTTATTTATTTATTGACAGAAAAAGGACAGGAAGGCCAAGTTGTCCCTACTTTCCAGAAGAGGGTCGAAGGTAAATGAAGCAATGCAAAATCCCTGTTTCAGTGCTCTTATTGTATTTGCATGTTTGTCTTTGTGATGGTAACAATTTTCTGTGTGTGGGAGAAGTTTGCTGATGATACAAAGGAGGCGAAGAGCAGGACAATACCCACCACTCGTAAATCATCAAAGGTAACAATCAGGGTGTCTGGAATCAAATATACATTGCCTAAGCATGTGTGAGTAAGCCTAGTCTGGAGTATTAAAGCCTTAATGTGGCAGACAGAGAACTGTTTTGCTGTACTGTTCAGCCAATTAAACTCTTGATTCATGTGTAAAATGTGCTCAAATAAATCAACACAATAACTATTGCTGCATCAGATCTGAGCACATTAGTGTGTTTATAATGGCACTGCTTGTTTTTCAGGAGTATTTTACAGAATTTCACATGTCTGCAGAAGAGTATGAAGATGAGCAGAATGGGATGGACTACAGAGTATGTTATCTTGTTTCTGTATTTATTACCAGTATTAACACTTTCCCCGCCAGAGTCTTATTTTTAAGTTGCCAGCCACCGCAAGCATTTTTGATCATATTCACTAATCTTTCAAGACCCACAGAATAATTTGTTCTATGAATATGTTAAAAGTATATACATGAAACTAAAGAAGAGGCCTGTTTTGTTTTGTCTCTTCTCGTCTCGTCGTCCTCCGCTTATCCGGGTCCGGGTCGCGGGGGCAGCAGCCTCAGCAAAGAAGCCCAGACAGTCCTCTCCCCAGCCACCTCCGTCAGCTCTTCTGAGGGAATCCCGAGGCGTTCCCAGGCCAGCCGGGCGATTTGTTTTGTTTTTTAAGATATTTTTTGGGGCATTTTTAGCCTTTAATGGATAGGACAGACAGGTGTGAAGGGGGGGAGAGAGAGGGAGTGACATGCAGCAAAGGGCCACAGGCTGGAGTTGAACCCAGACCGCTGCGGCAACAGCCTTGTAAATGGGGCGCCTGCTCTGCCACTAAGCCACCGACGCCCCAGGCCTTCTGTTTTTAAGCACAAAAAACATTTTATTCTATCTTAATCTATTTCACACTTACATTTTTTGTGTCTTTCTCATTTCCTTATGTCTGTTTGAATTGTATAAAAGAAAATGATAATAACGATAATGAACATAATATTCTGTGTGAGGAAAAGTGCAACATGTTGTCATGTTCAATTACCCTGCAAATCCAGAGTTCTCGCGAGAGCACAATTTGAATTTGCTCAGCGAGTCACTCTGGCAATCAGTAATGATGCTCATTACCTATGCCCATGAAACCGAGCTGCACCAATCACATCGGTGTATCTGATATAGGCGGGCCAGAGGCGAGCTAAACAGAAGACGACAGCGCTGCGACGACGAAGTCTGGAATCAGTCAGTAAACATTGCAAGATGGCTACAGATGAACACCAGTTGTTTGAAACGGCTTTGGCCGCTACAATGAACGAGTTAGACTTGGCTTTTTCTCTAAAAGAGGAACAGAAGACGGCGCTCGAGTCTTTCCTTTGCAAGAAGGATGTTTTTGCTGTTTTGCCGACCGGATACGGCAAGAGTCTAATCTACCAGTTAGCTCCACTGGTAGCTAAGCGTATACGTCACCCTGTGTATTGTTCTGATTGGTCGTAGTGTTATCCAATTGCGTGCAGTGATATTTACAAATGCATGCTTAGTGCCGCCCCTCGAGTTGGGCCATTTTCATTACTCATAGCCAGACCCTAAATCTGTCTAGATTTGGGTCTGGATTTCCAGGCTAACGTTCAGTGCCAGTACTATTGACTCCCTCTTCATTAGAAAGAAGGCTGACTAGTAGTGGGTGGTGTGGGTTTACCCCTGGTAGACAATAGCAGCTAGCTCCAACTGAAAGTTCCCCCAAACAGCCAGCCCAAACAGCGTCAGTAAACGATTCTTTGTGGTGGTTGATCCAAAAAGAAACAAAGCTGGAGGTAGTTGGCGTTCAGTTCGGCAAAAGCCATAAAGCTCTTTGGTGGCAGGTCTCTCACTCTCAAGGTTGTTCAGCACTGAAATCCCTCATGGACACTGTTACTCAGAAGCCTACCACACCTGCGCCACTGGATTAATTGATAAGCCCCGCCCACCACCAACCAGCCAAAAAGGAAAAAAAGAAACTACTCATGTAAATACTACAGCGCATACTGCTCTACCCAAGAGTTTAACAATGTCTCCTTTTGTCAACAGAAGAAACATCTGAAGGCCAAAGTCAGTCAGCTGCTTAGAAGAGCATCAACTACCTCCTACGCACTAGAAGGAAAACACATGAACGGACATTTACCTCAAGAATCAAAGGTGAGTTATCTGAAGTACAAGTTCGAGCTTAAGGACGTTATTTAGGTTTTGCTTTAAATCTTCTCCTGAATCTGCCGTGAAAGTTTAATCCATCCATGTGGTGTGTCTAAAAGGTTACATACATTACTTTTTACATTAGTGCCGCAGTTCTGGTGATTTTTGTCTTTGTAATTCCACAACATAATGATGACATTAATAAGAAAAGCGTCAGCAATAAGAACTAACTAAAGTAACTAACTAACTAAAGTCTACCTAAAGTCAACCTGCGTAGTTGTCCCTCCATTGTGACATTAGAAAGTGTCACATTTATCTTGTAAGTGTACTCTTCTTCAATGTTTTGTTTACTCCCTGGGTTTTTCCCACATGGAAATTCTGACCAATCAAGAGCAGCTTTCTTGTGCAAGACATTTGATCTGGTCCGCTTGTAAATGCTGCCGTGTGAACACAAACCAACTCTAGGCAATTATACAACTTTGTAACAAAATAAGTCCCTGATTCAGACCAAGGCAAGACAACTTTAGGTCTGAAAGCACCCTTAAGCATCAGGGACTGGTTGCTCAAAACACCTTAAATTTGTCCCTTAAGTAGGAAACTTATGGCTTAAATGAAATACTTCACCAATAACTGACTGGAAAGATCCCATTGGATCTAAGGTTCAATGGTTTAACAAACTTTAAGCAAGTCCTTAAGTACAAGACCAAGATAATCAGAAAAACTTTAATCATTTTGTAAATGTTTTAAGGAAACCTTAAGGATGAGACTTGAGGATGTTTTGTGCTTATCTCAAGGAAATCTTAAGGAAAATCTTAACTTGAGGTGCTTTTTGCAACCAGCAGCTCAAATACTCACTATAATGCACTAAATACACGGTGCATGAATTCACATCCCTAAAGTCACCATCTGAAAATATGTACCTTTTTTTCCCTTAGTATTTTACGATCTTGGGATAAAATTGTTTACATACTTTAATTTCTCAATGGGATAATTTGAAGTTTTTGAGGTACTTATCCATAGTCAGTGTATTACATATACTGAATGATGGTCAGTACCCCCTCAGGCAGGAATACCACCATGGAAGCTATGCAATGTTCTGCTGTGGATGAAGGCAGCAGCAAAAGGTATTTTAGCCACCTAAAAAGGTCAGTATCACTTTAAGTGTACGATATATTTAGACTATGTTCACTGCTTTACCTTTGCGTCAGACAGCGATTTCCGACGGGCAATCTGTTTAGGGCTTCAGTTCCCCATCTATGCTCTCGTCAAACCCACCAAATTCCATTGACAGAAACAGTAATTTAGTCATGACCACATTGGTCAAAGAAAACTTTACCTTCCTAGGACTACACAGAAAGCCTGAGGTAGAGAGAGCACACCTGTCTGCCCTTACATGTGCAAACATGGAAAGCCTGAGACAGTGAGAGCAAACCTCTCTGCTCTTCCATGTACCTACATGGAAAGTCTAAGACAGGGAGAGCAGTGCAGACGCCCCAGGAACAGGACAGCATCAATGACAAACAGAAATGACATTGATAAGTCAGATACAGGATGAAAAGGAGTTGCCGGAGTGGATATACATTTGAATATAGTGGGTTTGTACAGTGTGTCTGCTGTGCATGAGCGTTGTATTCATGGTATGAAGAAATCGAAGCAGTGTAATATGTTTGGAACTTTTTTTCCCCCCAGGAGAAGATACATGATGACCTCTTGGGTGCACATGGCTACACACCTCGTAAGCAGTCCCAGGTCAGTTTTTTCAGTACCTGTTTTTTTTTTTTTACATTTGAAGCTTCTTTTAAGGTTTTTAAAAGAAGCTTCATATTTCATGATGTCATCACCCTTAAATGAAAAAATAACTAAACAAAAAGTCCTTGAACAAAATCCTCAGTTTAGATAAAGGGATTCATCAGAATAAATGAGTTAGTCTTTTTAATTCTATCAACATTCTTTAATGAATAAATGTAGTTCAGTCAGGAACACTTGAGTCAAAGAAAACTTAATTTCCATTTGCAGTATTATATTTGGCGGTATGGCTCTGTTCTGGGGCCTCTCTGCCTTTCCTGGGCCTATGCAGAAAGCCTCTTCCATGCACCTGCATGGAAAGCCTTAAGGCAGAGAGACCAAACCTCCCTGCCCTTCCATGCGCCTACATGGAAAGCATCAATAACAAACAGAAATGACATTAATAAGTCAGACACAGCATGAAAAGGAGGAGCTGGGATGGAGGTGGGTTGCAAAGCAGCTTGCAGAGGAAGCAGCAACAGTAGGCAGGCCAGAGCAGTTTAAATAGGGTGCCCTGAATGAGATTTGCCAACTGGTTGCATAGAAGGGAGTCATGTGATCTATCAGCTGACTCCCTTCCATCAATCAGCTGCTCCATCACTTGATTGGGCTGAGATCAGCTGATGTAGCTGATTGGGGCAGCAAAGGACCAGCAGCTCCTGTGTTCAGTGATTTTAAATGACTATTTTTCTCAATGGGGTCTGGCTTTGAAGAGAGCAAAGGAACGGCTTCAATTCCCCTTTGGAAATGGCTGTCTGACAGCAAGGTGAAGTGTTAAAAATATTCTTAATATAGCATACACTTAATCTAAAATACACCCCTGCCCACAGCAGTACATTGCTTACCTTCCATATCAAGACTCCTGTCTGCAAACTGGGGGTGTGGTGACCAACCCCACTTCAAAAACGTGGAACTATCCCTTTAAGACAAATGTTGGTTCTCCTAAAGCGTTACCGTGATGCAGTTTTTAATGCAGTGGTTTGTTGTCTACAGGGGACAGTTTTGGATGACAGCACTTGTGAGGACGAGGAGGGAGGAGAAGCCCAGCACGAAGAGGTTGACCGCCATGGATCTGTTTACTTTTTTACACTTAACAGCAAGCAATATACATGTTAATGCCAAGATTTTATCATGGTTAATAGCAGCATAACAAAATAAACAAAAAAATAACATACTCTGATATAGATACTTTTTTTGAGCATCTAAAGGCAGAACTTTAACTACTCTGGCATGCTTTGATATGCGGGATCTTTTTTTTCTCTCTCCAGAAGAAAAAAAAGAAGGTGAAAATCAAGTTTGTGCCACACAGAGGATTTGCCATCACTGTAGACAAGGTATTGCACATCTTCTGTACTTAATATATCACAGCATATACCTTTAAATGAATGTGTCTAACACTGAAACTTTTTCTCTGAACCGAAGGGAGCACATGGAAACACACCACACAAAGGATCAAAGGTATGACTGTATACATTTGAAAATAGTGGGTTTGTATCATGTGTGTGCTGTGCGTGAACGTTGTATTCGTGGTATGAAGAAATTGAAGCAGTGTAATAGGTTTGGAACTTTTTTTCCCCTCAGGATAAAACACACGGTGAGCTCTTGGGTGCACATGGCTACATGCCTCGTGAGAAGTTTCAGGTCAGTTTTTTCAGTTTGCATAGCAGTTTTGGAGTAGTTATGAATTTGCAGGCTTGCGAATGACAATTACATTTAGGGCTGCAACAAAATATCTGATTTTTTAACAGTTGAAGCTTCTGTTAAGGTTTTTGAATGAGCCTCTATATTCATGACATCGTCACCTGTTAATAAATAAATAAACAAAAAGTCCTTGAACAAAATCCTCAATTTGAATAAAGTGATTCATCAGAATAAATAAGTTAATCTTTTTAATTCTATCAACTTTCTTTAATGAATAAATGTAGTTCAGTCAGGTACACTTTAGTCAAAGCAAACTTTATTACCATTTGCAGTATAATATTTGGCAGTATGGCTCTGTTCTGGGGCCCCTCTGCCTTTCCTTGGGCCTACGCAGAAAGCCTCTTCCACATGCTACGTGGAAAGCCTAAGGTGGAGAGAGCACACCTCTCTGCCCTTCCACGTGTCTTAATTAAAAGCCTTAGGCAGAGAGAGCACACCTCCCTGCCCTTCCATGCGCCTACATGGAAAGCCTAAGGCAGGGAGAGCAGCAGCAAAGAGCCCCCAGGAACAGAACAGAGCAGCATCAATGACAAACAGAAATGACATTGATAAGTCAGACACAGCATGAAAAGGAGGAGCTGGGGTGGAGGTGGGTTATAAAGCAGCTTGCAGACAAAGCAGCAACAGTAGGCAGGCCAGAGCAGTTTAAATAGGGTGCCCTGAATGAGATTTGCTAATTGGTTGCATAGAAAGGAATCATGTGATCTATCAGCTGACTCCATTCCTCATGTCACCCTTAGGATGATGCTTTTGAGGATGTGAAGGAGATGAGTCTTCAGTCAACCAGCAAGGTACTATCTTTCTCATTGTTACCATTATATGAAATTTTTTTTTTTTTTTTGGTATGATAACTTTGCATTTATATATTTTTTATTGTCATTATACTGCAGACTAGCAATTAGCTGACTTGAATCTGAGAAATGAGACTATAAATGAAGACTATTCCATACTTGTTTGCCAAAAAATGTGGTTATAAATGAGGACATATTTTTCAGGAACTCAGTGCAACATGGTTTTCACTGTAACCTGTCTGGCAGGGGTCATCAGCTACATTTGTCCAAAGGCCAGAATTTTTCTAAGCAGACAGTGTGGAGGCAGGACTATGAAATTAAATGGGTGGCGCTATGCCCCCTTTCAGCATGTTAGTATTGGACCTTTTTCCAGTTGACCTATTACGTCACAGACCAAACGATCGACAAAGAAGATACCTACGGTGAGCTAGCCGCTAACTGGTACCATGGTGGGCAACTTTACACTCTGTACATTTCGTCCGTCCAAAAGTGCTCATCTGGTTTTAGTTGGACTAACACAATAAATTGATTTTCTTGAATGTCATTGTGGCGATCCGCCATTAGGATGAACGTTTCCCTTTAATCTTCACGTCCCGTTCCCTGTTAATTCACGCCCCCGCCACAACTCCTGCACCAGCCAATGGCGTTCCTTTGCCTTTTTTTTCGTTTGTGCCTTGTATGCGTTGTTATGGTGGTGTGAACCAAAAGAGGGTACATGACACAGAGTTTATGGTTACTGAGCTGTGTATCCTTGTGGGGGATTACCCTGACCAATACTCGATTTAAAATTGTCGGAGGGAGCTCTGACTGGCACCCCTAAAAATACAGGTAATCCGCTACATCATGTAAATGTACTGACAGAGAGAGATAGAAGGTGGAAGGTGGACTATTGCACAGAATGGGCTGCGGCTCTATAACAAGCTGACAGATGGAATTACCCATAGGTCAAACTCACATATTTGGGGTTGGTAAATCATTTCTAATAAGATTATTTCTATATCAGTTGTTTTGGGGGTTGCTTCAGTATATGGAGGAATAGAATGCTATCATATATATATTTATGATATCATAAATGCCAGAATGCATGTTTTCCTCCTCACATTTTCTGTATTCAGTAATAGTCTGTGGGCCAGATGGGAACCTCTGGTGTGCCATATGTGGCCCACAAGCCACTGGTTGATATGGCTACTGTGTGATTTTGGTGATTAACATACCTGACTTACAAAGAATAATGGTTGTTATGAATCTCAGGCTGCTTTCATGGATGACGAGCACTTCCAGAAAACACGCCATATGTCTGCTGGATTAAATGGAGATGAAGATACATGGGAAATGGAAGACTGCAAACCTGTAACTTTCTTTTTCTTTTAATGCTCATATTTTCATTCAACATTTTTTCACCTGTTTTCACTGAATGATCTTTTTTCGTTCATCAATAGAAGAAACCAACAAAGACGAAGCTGCTGCACGGGGGCTTTGGAAGTTCTAAGGTAAACATGTTTCTGTGAAATGTTTTGCTGCGAGGCAACAAGAGGTGAAAGAAATGTTTCATTAATGTGTCTTAATCAGGAGGACATGCTGGATGACCCCAGTCATCAGAAAAAGATGAGCAGCTTCTCGGCAGAGGAGTTAGACGATGAAGATGAGATGGAGGACTGCAAACCGGTATGTCCATTAACCGGAAAGTATTCTTGTAACATGATACCTGTAACACGTGAACAGCAGCAGTAGTTAAAGCTCAGTGTAAATGCTTTGTATAAACATGTCATGCAATGAACAGAGCAATCAGGGCACCAATCACTTTGACAGACCAGATTAGCAACAATGGAGAACATAATGACAAGTGCCTCTGCTGCCAAATGCGTCATTGTGCCACAGCAAGTGTCTAATTTCACAGCAGATGAGCCTTTGAAACACTCTCTGAGTTTAAGTGTAAACCTTTCACCAACACTTGAGTTGCATCAGACTGTTCTGAAGAGGGTGAGAATGGACGACTATGCACAGAGTGATTGTTGTTACTTCAGATTTCATGCAGAAGAGAAGATGTTTGATTTGATTCCTCCTGACCACATAAGCTTGGCGTCTAAAGGAGGGTTGAGTAGTTGGAAGAATATATTGGATATACTACACCTTAGTCTTCATTTACATTTTGGATTTTGTCGCCTCAACTCTCTATCAGCCTCTTGTTTTTTAGCTGCACTATTTTAGTGTGGGGTAGATTGTGTGAATGAGAGGTGTACCATTTAAAAAATGAAGATTCCCCTTTGAAATAAGTGTTGGTTGGTGGATCAGATTCAGACTTTTCGTTAAATGGTTGGATTTTGCTTGAAAAGTCGTAGTGTAAGGCCAGCATTAGCTTGGCGAAAGAGAGAAACTTGAATTCAGATAATACTGACAATTGCTGGTTGTTGGGCTGATGGTGGTCGGTTGGGGAACATATCACCCAGCCCTAGTCTTAAGCTTTCTTTAATACTTTAATATTTTTCGTTTCTTGTGTCAGAAAACGACCAAACCGAAAATCCCGCCTCCCATCCCACGCAAACCTAAGACATCCAGTGGACAGAGTGAACCGATTGGATTCAGCTACCAGATACCTCAGCAAGCATCCGTTGTATGTTAAATCTTGATTTAATGCACAACACAAGCATGGGCTCTACTATATGTAACACTTTAGTTTAAATGTTTTATGCTGGTTTGACTTTATGCCGGGTATTTTTTGCAGGATCCCTTTGCTGAGGATGACTTCACTCACACAGGTAGAGATTTCATGAAAGACATGATCGACAGCGAAGAAGATGAACTGGAAACCTGCAAATCGGTATTTTTGTCACTCTCGTGTTCACTTTAAGGGTTTTACTTCGGGGTCATTACATACGTGATTCTCAAACTTTTTGTTTTGTTTTTAGCAGAAGAAGCCATCGAAACTTAAAGGCCTCAAAAAACACAAGGCTAAGGTAAAGCTTATCTCTAATCACACAAACAAGCTGGGTTCTGCTGTCAGATCTTTAAAAACAAGAGAACGACATGCTCACTTTTTATTATCTCTGTCACACCAGAGCAAAGCAATACAGGAGGAGTGTGAAGATCCACCAGGAGCTGCGCCAAGTGACTTCCTGTCAGAGGCTGCAAGGGTACGTTTCCGCCTGTCAAACTGGAAAACAGAGATAAGTTTTTTTGAAGTGGGGTTGTTTGAAGTACTTAAGTATAGTGTGTATTTTAGCCACCTAAAAAATCAATATCAGTTTAAGTGTAGGCTATATTGAGAGTATTTTTACTGTTTTACCGTGCTGTCAGACAGCCCTTTCCGATTTGGAGCTGAAGCCGTTATTTTGCTCTCTTCAAAGCCAGGCTCCATTTAGAAAAAACATAATTTGACCTCGCTTAACACAAGAGTTGCTGGTCTGCCGCTACTATATTGTGTGACTTTGGTGTTTTAAAGGGATAGTTCGGATCATAATGGACGTAGCTACTGTGATGTCACCCATTGGTTTGTGGACTCCCATTTTGAAGCCTCTAATTCGCCATTACGGCAGTCGCCATCTTGGTTTTTTGGAACCAGAAGTGACCATATTTGGATGAGAGGCTGGCGCTGTGGAGGAGCGATGGGTGGACCTGACTGAGTAGCCAAGGACACTATCAGCAGACAGCCTTTCCCTCAAATCTACCTGCCCTGAATTGTGCCTAAATTTGGGCCTTTATAAAATGAAAATGGGTGAATTATATGAAATTTCACCCCTGTACAATTGTTACGAATATTAAAATTTGCACTGGAGACCAAAACTGTTTTTTGTACCAGGTTGTAAACATGTTTATTTCTGCTGTGAAGTTGGGGACATTTTAACATGGACCCATGAGGACTGACTCACTTCTGGAGCCTCAAGTGGCCGTTCAGAGAATTACAGTTTTTGGCACTTCTGTATTGGCTACCTTTTTTAGCCCCTGAGGTTGCTGCTTGGTTTGAATTTCCCAAAGAACACAACTGATGGAGGCAGTGGTAGACCAGGACCACCTGTGTTCAGCGAGCTAAACAAAACAACCTCAAAAACAATTAAAAAAGAGGCAAAACCACAAAAAGTCTGTGTATCTTGTTTCGGTATAGAAAAGATTTAAGCCTTTTCCAAATCTGTGTCCAGGAGCCCATTGTCTCATAATCCACATTTGTCTGAGTAGTGTTGACTGATCACAATTGAATGGGCTTTGGTAGTATGCAGGTAAGAAGTCCACGTGGAGAGCAAAAGAGGCAGAGCACATTGGCCAAAATACAATCTCTGAACCCATCGGCTATTGTCCATCAAGGATTTAACTTTCTATGCCCCCACGTCAGCGATAGCCTTCGTCAAGGCATTATGTTTTTGGGCTGTCTGTCCATCACACCCTCGTAAATACGATATCTCAAGAACTCCTCAAGGGAATTTCTTTAAATTTGGCAAAAATGTCCACTTGAACTCAACAACGTTTATTTCTGTTGTGAAGTTGGGAATTTCAGCATGGTGGTCTTTGGGGATTGACTGGCTTCTGGAGCCTTAAGTGGCCATTCAAAGAAATACAGTAGTCAACACTTATGCGTTGGCTTCATTTTTCAGCCCCTGAGGTTGCTGTTTGGTTAGGATTCCCCAAAGAACACACAAACAAAAAAGAAACTAGCTGATCAAGGCAGTGGTATGCCAATACCGCCTGTGGTCAGTGAGGTAAAATTTCCGTTTTTGTCAGTGGAGTCTAGTGGCTTTGCAGAGCACATAGAATCTGGAACTGAAACTGGTAACAGCTTCCCCTTTGGGAGAGGGCTGTCTTCGTCAAGGTTGGTTGGCTTGCCTTCAGTTGGCAGACAGGAGTGTTGATGTTGAAGCTAAGCAGTGTACTGCTGTGGACGGGGGCAGCTGCAAAACGTATTTTAGCCAGCTAAAAGAATCAATATCAGTTTAAGTGTATGCTATATTAAGAATATTTTTACCACTTTACCTCGCTGACAGAACCAGCAATTTCCGACAGGGTATTGAAGCTGTTACATTGCTCTCTTCAAAGCCAGACTCCACTGAGAAAAACAATCACTAATTGAGGCAGAGGTAGACCAGCGACTCCTGTGTTTTGTGAGGTAAAAATACTGTTTTTGTCAACAGAGTCTGGTGGGTTTGACGAGAGCGTAGATGGGGAACTGATTAAGAGATTGCCAGTCGGACATTGCTGTCTGACACAAAGGTAAAGCAGTAGAAATATCCCAAATACAGCATACATTTGAACTGATCATGCTATTTTTAGATGGCTAAAATTAGTTTTGCTGCGGCCCCCATCCACAGCAGTATATTGTTTAGCTTCGGTATCGATACTCCTGCCTGCTTCTCCAAACTGGGAGCATGTCGACCAATATCTACTGTAGGTATACACTGACTTTGGATAATTACCTCCCACAAATCCACTTCAAAAAAAGTCCAAACTATCCCTTTAAGCTTGGATTATTTTGGCAGTGATTGGTAACATGGTATGTCTTTCATCCTGAAATAAACTTCCTCATCATCATCAAACCGGTTGGCATGAATGTGCTAATACATGACCCATTGTTAAGTGTTTATACTGTGTAACCCACAGAAGGAATTCCCTCCCCTAAGCCATCACATGATCATAACTCGTGATGAAGCAACACACAGTTTAGCACATCACCATGACTTTCTTGATTCTGATAACACACCTTGTTTTTGTCATTAAGCCAGAGTAGGCTAAATCTGTAAGTCCAGAGTTTTTGGGATAACCTCTTGTCTTTTACACATAAGACTGTGTGGCATTATTTATGCAAAGTGCACTTTGTTGATTTCACCTGACAGTTGGGAAACTATCATGAGATGTTTTTGTTTTCCACTGTTGCCCCAGTTATCTCCATGTCCCTGTTCCTGATGGGACACATTCCTTTGACATGTGACTGGGCCGGTTCGGCAGCATAGCGCACACACACTAACTGACGCAGCAGCCAGAGTGTAGGAAAGTCTTAGTCTACGTACATAATGTCAGGTTATGATGACTAATCTGTGTGAATGTGTTCTCCACATTGACGTATTCACTGGCTTATTTTTGTCCCATCCACCCTCTCCCTCACCCCTTGTTCAGGCAGAGTGGCTGGCTGCTCAGAAGGATGAGCACGCTATAGCAGGTCTGGAGGATGAGGGTGAAGACGGGGTCAGTCCATTTATAAGTGGCTAAACAAAAAATATTCCAATAAACTTTTCTAGTAGTGTATCACTCAGGTGTTAACCATCATTGCCTTTTTTTGTTACAGGACACTGACAGTTTGATGGAGTGGTGGAACACTGTGGAGCGTGAGTCACAATCACTCTTATTTTAAAGGGACAGTTCACCCCAAAATCAAAAACACATATTTTCCCTCTTACCTGTAGTGCTGTTTATCAGTCTAGATTGTTTTGGTGTGAGTTGCCGAGTGTTGGAGATATCAGTCGTAGAGATGTCCACCTTCTCTCCAATATAATGGAACTAGATGACACTCAGCTTGTGGTGCTCAAAGCGCCTACAAAATACTTTTGAAAAACTCAACAGTAATGTCTCTTTCCAGAAATCATGACCCAGTTACTCAAGATAATCCACAGACATTGTTGTGAGCAGTTTCATGTTGGAACTATTCTCTTTTTTCTGAATAACACCTGCCACCTGTATCATTATGCAGAAGGACGAGTGCATCTACTGCTAGCTCACCTAGCACCACTGAGCTAGCTAACGGCACAGCTCAGCTGAGGAGGACGCACTGAGTCAAGCCATGTCGCACAGATTTGCATTTCCATTGTCAGTTTAGATACCCTGTGCCATGCCAAATTGCACCAGAGATGGAACTCTCTCTAGAGGAGGTCCAAAACCCGGGCCACCTGCCCTCAAGCAGGTAGCGGTGACGTCTCGTCGACCATAGCCACCACCCAACCACCTTGCCTCTCCCCCTCAAACTAGCATGTGTGTCCTCACCTCTGTCTGCAGGAGACCAGAGAGAAAGGAGTTTTTAAAAGTCTCTGTGTGTTCAGCTCTCAGTACTTTTGTAGCTTCTAACTGAATCGCTGTGGTTTGGAGTTTAGTTTCTCTCCTGAGTCCTGTTTCTACTTTAGATATCTCATTTATCTTACTGTTTCATGTTCACTATCAGCTGTATTAGAAGTTATGTGAAGACAATTTAAACATAAAAAAATAATGCAAGACTTTTATTGTGAAGACTCCATAGGAATTAAAATGTTTATGATGGAATTAGCTGAATTTTCTTGGCAGCTTTTCTTTAATAAAGGCAAGGCTAATAATATGGCAGGGAGGAAGAGTGAAAGCAGAAACGGCCACAGTGAGATGTTAATGAAGAGCTGCAGACAACAGGCTCTTCCTGCACCTCTGCAAACAGCTCACCTCCAAAAGGTAAACTTCATTTACCTGCCCTGCTGTGGAAAAACACATGCAGCAAAAATAACAGGGGACTTTAGCTATGGATCTGCTTTTAAACATCATCACTCAAGACAAGCCATCACATACCTTCAAGATGGCAGCCCTGTTTTTATGGAAATGCAAATCCCTGCTATGCTGGGCTGATGGCCCAAACCAAGCCAAGCCAAACCAAGTCAGCCCATGACTGTGGAAAAGGGGAATTAATGTTTATATCTTGTGCTGTCACGAGCACGAGTCTTTTGTCTTTAGCTCTACAAGTAAAAGGGAAAATAGTTTTTTGGGATGAACTGTCCCTCCAAGTAACAGACTGAAGAAATTGAGCAATAATAATAAACTTGAATGTCTATTAACACCTGTGGTTTGATTGTTTCAGAATGGGATGAGGTGCCGTCAGACGATGAGGACAAAGTGCTGAAAGAGGATGAGTCTAAGTAAGTCTGAGCTTGGAAGGATTGTTTCTGCTGTAGTTACGGATGTTGTGAATACAGCAGAAAATGGAAATATTTAGACATACACTACATATGTTTTCAGTCTGCTCATCTTGCTTGACTGCTTGTTTCTGATAGTATCAAGTACACATTAAGGCTGTTGATACATTTTGCGAGTAGAATAATTAATCAAGCAACTTTGTAAATGGGTATGATTTATTATGTTCACAAGGAACATTATGTTTCAGGTAATCTCTAACACTATCTGCAAATCAGTACGGAATCTGATAGCAACAGAGGCTGGGAAAAAATTACCTGCAAAATATCACTCAAATAAACAGGCACTGACCAGGATGAGACTTAAAATGGCTACTAAGAGACACAAAGGAACTGCAATATAACAACAAAAAGAGGCAAAACAACCCAAAAAAGCCACATGATAACTTCAAGGAGACACCAACTTACCTAAAAGAGACACAAAACTCCACTGTGTCTTGCTCCTATATAGGAAAGGTTTGGGCCTTTTGCTTATCTGTGTCCAGGGGCCCATTGTCTCATAATCTGCCTATGTCTGAGTAGTACTGACCAATCACATTTGAGTGGGCTTTGGTAGTATGCAGGTAAAAAGTCCATGTGAAGATCTTTTATTCCTCTGTGCTGGCGATAGCCTTGGCGAGAAGTAGTATTTTTGCGGGTTTCTGTCCGATTGTCCTATCCTTGTAAACACGATATCTCAAGAACACCTCAAGAGAATTTCTTCAAATTTGGCACAAATGTCCACTTGGACTCTGATAAACTGATGAGATTTTGGTGGTCACTGGTCACAGGTTCACTGTGACCTTGCATCCATCTCATTCTCATGAATGTGATATTTCAAGAACAGCTTGAGGGAATTTCTTCTAATTTGGCTCAAGCATTCACTTGGACTCAACTATGAGCTGATTAGAGTTTATTGGGCAAATGTTAAAGATCAAGGTCACTGTGACCTTATCTGTCTCATTCTCACAAACACAATATCTCAAGAACACCATGGGGGAATTCTTAAGATCTGGCACAGATATCCACTTGGACTGAAGAATAAACTGATTAGAATTGTGTGGTTGAAGGTCAAAGGTCAAGGTCAGTGTGACCCAACAAAATATGTTTTCGGCCATAACTCAAGAATTCATATGCTAATTATGACAAAACTTCACACCAATGTCTAATAGGATGAAGTGATAAAGTGATGGCATTTTGATATCTAAGAAGTCAAAGGTCAGCTTCACCGTGACATCATATGTTCTGCATAAAACACTTCTCTGGCCATTACTCAACGTCACATCTCAGGAATACAATGAGAGAAATCTGGTAAGATCCTTAATTGGTGACACTCATCTTGGGCACCCACCTTGAAAATGAGATGTTGGACTGTAAACAATGACGGGCGCACCAAAGAGGATGTCTTGGACAGGATATACGTTATTCGGATATCTGCTGGCTACACCCGAACCCCCGAAATATTGGTCAGACTTATAGCCAATAGGTTTCAAGATTGTGTTTCTGCTACAGAGTTAACCTGAACCTGAACAAACATAAGAATTAGAATAAAAAAATCTTAGTAATACAACCCCTGGCAAAAATTATGGAATCACCAGTCTTGGAGGATGTTCATTCAGTTGTTTAATTTTGTAGAAAAAAGCAGATCACAGACATGACGCAAAACTAAAATCATTTCAAATGGCAACTTTCTGGCTTTAAGAAACACTAAAAGAAATCAAGAAAAAAAATTGTGGTAGTCAGTAACAGTTACTTTCTTAGACCAAGCAGAAGGAAAAAACTATGGAATCACTCAATTCTGAGGAAAAAATTATGGAATCACTCAATTCCGAGGAAAAAATTATGGAATCATGAAAAACAAACAAACAAAAGAACACTTCAACACACCACTAGTACTTTGTTGCACCACCTCTGGCTTTTATAACAGCTTGCAGTCTCTGAGGCATGGACTTAATGAGTGACAAACAGTACTCTTCATCAATCTGGCTCCAACTTTCTCTGATTGCTGTTGCCAGATCAGCTTTGCAGGTTGGAGCCTTGTCATGGACCATTTTCTTCAACTTCCACCACAGATTTTCAATTGGATTGAGATCCGGACTATTTGCAGGCCATGACATTGACCTTATGTGTCTTTCTTCAAGGAATGTTTTCACAGTTTTTGCTCTATGGCAAGATGCATTATCATCTTGAAAAATGATTTCATCATCCCCAAACATCCTTTCAATTGATGGGATAAGAAAAGTGTCCAAAATGTCAACGTAAACTTGTGCATTTATTGAAGATGTAATGACAGCCATCTCCCCAGTGCCTTTACCTGACATGCAGCCCCATATCATCAATGACTGTGGAAATTTGCATGTTTTCTTCAGGCAGTCGTCTTCATAAATCTCATTGGAACGGCACCAAACAAAAGTTCCAGCATCATCACCTTGCCCAATGCAGATTCGCGATTCATCACTGAATATGACTTTCATCCAGTCATCCGCAGTCCACGATTGCTTTTCCTTAGCCCATTGTAACCTTGTTTTTTTCTGTTTAGGTGTTAATGATGGCTTTCGTTTAGCTTTTCTGTATGTAAATCCCATTTCCTTTAGGCGATTTCTTACAGTTCGGTCACAGACGTTGACTCCAGTTTCCTCCCATTTGTTCCTCATTTGTTTTGCTGTGCATTTTCTGTTTTCAAGACATATTGCTTTAAGTTTTCTGTCTTGACGCTTTGATGTCTTCCTTGGTCTACCAGTATGCTTGCCTTTAACAACCTTCCCATGTTGTTTGTACTTGGTCCAGATTTTAGACACAGCTGACTGTGAACAACCAACATCTTTTGCAACATTGCGTGATGATTTACCCTCTTTAAGGAGTTTGATAATCCTCTCCTTTGTTTCAATTGACATCTCTCGTGTTGGAGCCATGATTCATGTCAATCCACTTGGTGCAACAGCTCTCCAAGGTGTGATCACTCCTTTTTAACTGCAGACTAACGAGCAGATCTAATCTGATGCAGGTGTTAGTTTTGGGAAAGAAAATTTACAGGGTGATTCCATAATTTTTTCCTCAGAATTGAGTGATTCCATAATTTTTTCCCTCTGCATAGTCTAAGAAAGTAACTGTTACTGACTACCACAATTTTTTTCTTGATTTCTTTTAGTGTTTCTTAAAGCCAGAAAGTTGCCATTTGAAATGACTTTAGTTTTGTGTCATGTCTGTGATCTGCATTTATACTACAAAATAAAACAACTGAATGAACATCCTCCAAGACTGGTGATTCCATAATTTTTGCCAGGGGTTGTATTGTCTGCATTGAAACTGTTGTTTGCTCCCTAAATATCCCAGGTCATTCACCATCTTGGCAGACAAGGTTAGTCGCGGCCTACGTGTCTTCAACAAAGTCTTCACAGAGCGAGCTGAGGTCCTCTGGCAGTCCGTTATCACGCTCCACGCCATCGCTGATGACATCAACAACTTCCACCACAAGGCCAAGATCGCTGGCATTACCGGTGGCACCACCACGGCCGTGGGTGGTGTGACTGCCATCGCTGGTTTGGTTCTAGCACCCATTACCCTTGGTGTCTCTCTGGTGATTACCGCTGTTGGCGTGGGTGTGGCGACGGCTGGAGGAATCACTTCAGCCTCTGCTGCCATCTCGGATAACGTTAACAACATGCAGGACCGGAAGAAGGTAAGATGTTGTAGGAGACAATGCTTACTTGGTAAAATTAAGGCATGTCATAATACCAGAAATGCAGGCGTCAATACCAATACTGGTAAAATTCCATGATTCTTGATATGTAAACATACACTCCTTTATCATAACCTTTGGAATTAAAGGCAATTTTGTTTTATCATTTATCCTTGAAGATCCACCTCGAATGCAAATTACCAGTCTGTGGGTTCATTAGATTTTGTAGGGGAGAAACTGTATATTATTATATAGCCTACAGTATATTGACATATGTGTCTACCATTGTTCTTGTTGTTCAGTTGTGTTTGGACAGCTGGGTAAAAACTAACAAGTGTATTTGACCCAATGAGATTAAAAAGGGGAGAAGTCAGGGTGTCATATCACATCATATAATTGGCATACACAACACATGCGTAGTGAAATCGGGTCTGCACCTGCTGAAAGGCAATAGCTGATGCAATGTCATAAAACATGGGGTATGACTGATTAGTTTCACTGAGGCGTCCGCAGTCGACCTTGGCTTGGAATATTTTTGTAGAAAAAATAAAGATAAGGGTAAGATTTACTACAATTATTATTAATTATAGAAAAAGTCTGTCATAAAGACTATTATCAAATCCTTAAGCCTTTCGGGATGGTACCTTTGGAACCAAAAGTAACCCTTCCTAGACCCTAGGTGCGCTAAGCGTTTCCATCACAAATAGCACTCTTTCATGTGAACGGGGTTGTTGTCACTCACTGCTCCGTCAAGCACTCATTGTATTTCTTCCTTTATCCGTCTGCACCTCGTTTATCATCCACCGAACGAGGCTGCACACCAACATTTTCAGAACAAAACAAAACAAAGTGCAGTGAGAGTCTCTCTCCATGGGATATTTAAAAATAGCGGGTTTGTACATTTAGTCCTTCTGAAGAAAGCTCTGGGGTATAGTGTTGTGGGAGTCCACATGAATGATGTTCTGCTGCACATTTTTTCCCTATGTGCTAGGTACCCCAACAGAAGGGGTGAACAAAAATGGTAACAGTACAGAACGGTTCCATTGGTACAATCCACAACTTTTCACAGTGGAAACGTAAAAGAAAAAGTGTACTGAACTGAACTGAAATGTACTGCTCGGTGGAAACGAGCCTTTTGACACCAGCAGCCAGGGATAAAACACCGTCCCATCTCCTGCCTGAACTTTCAAAGATTTCTTTCAATGTGTAACTGAAGACTGTGGTCCTTCCTCTTCATCCCCAGGTGGAGATCGTACTGGATGACTACGAGGCTGACCTGAGGGCCATTGGGAAGATCCTCCACTTTGTCAATCAGGGCTTGTACAAACTGCGCGGCCATCCCTTCCTCAGGTCCGGCACCCAGCACTACTCTAAGGACTGGGAGATCCGCAGGGCCGTGCAGATGATCAGCTTAGTGGACTCGCCGGTGATGCGGGGGGCAGAGATAACGGACTCAGCGATCGGCTCAGTCCAAGGACTCTTTAAAGGCATGGACAAGTACTTCATCAAGGACTCCAGAGAGCTGAAGAAAGGCTGCAAGAAAGAGGTGGTGGCTCAAATAAAGGAGGTGGCAAATGTGCTCAATGACGTGGTGGTGGAGCTCAATGCCATCAGAGAAGAGCTACAGGATGCAACTGGAAACATGTGAGCAACATCCTGCATGATGCCACTTTGACTGTAGTTATTTCTCAAAAGAGCACTGACGCCATCTTCTGGCTAAATCTGGGAACTGCTGGTGTGGAGGAAGGCATGGGTTCAGTCGGTCAGTACCTCCTGTTAAGTTAAAGATATTAAAAGATTTGTCTTATTAATATATGTTTTAGTTTAAAATGGCAGATTTTAAAGAAGGTTAAACTACAAACAATACAACCTATTCCAATAAACTGTTGCAATGCTGCGAAAGATACAACCACTGTGAAGCTAATAATGGTCACTATCCTTGTTGTGGTTTTAGCACAGAGGGGTTAAATCAACTTTGGTAACTTCTAAGGCTGTAGATTTCTCTTGTTGTATTTGTATTACACTGTAAGACGTTTACTGTACACACACGGGAGGGGCAAAATAACAGAAAAGCTGACACACTTCTTTGAGCACTGTATGTTCTCTGGGTAAAAGGTGTTTAAAAATGTCAATTGTGATCGCAGATGGTTTAAAGAGTAACTTGGGTACTTTTGAACCTGGGCCCTATTTTCACACGTTTTTCTTTTTGTATGTTTTGGTAGCTCGGGGCAATTGTGCACCATCAATTTACGTCCATTCAGGTTATTATTATTATTATTGTTCTAAGTGTCTGACAACATAATAGAAAGGATCCCTACAGAGACAGACCTTTTCCTAAAGAGTAAGATCCTTTTTGTTTAACCATTAACAGCCCTGAAATTACTGTCGCCAAACCCACAAGACTCCATTTAAATAAACCGTAATTTTATCATTGTATATTGCACTTCATTCAAAGTTGACAGAAGCAAAATAAAACTCACAAAAGCCATTTTGGTGTAGCTCTCCACTGTTCCAACAATCAACAACTCTGGTTTGGTTGAAATAAACCCTTAATTCACCCATTTAGATGTGAAAATATGTTGGCTAATATACATGCTAAAATTAGTGATGGCCAAATGAAGCCTTATGAACCACTGTCTTTATTTTCTGACCCCACCAAATGGCACTCTTGGTTTAAATATAAAGGCTGAAGGACTTGCAATGAAGTGTGCTTTCAAACCTTTGTTGAACAGACAACACCATCTGGTGGTTTCAGAAAATAAAGACAGTGGTTCATGAGGCCTCATTTGGCCATCACTAGCTAAAATTACCGTTTATTTAAATGGAGTCTGGTGTCTTTGGGGTTAGAGGTTTCAAGGCTGTTTCTGGTTAAACAAAAAGGTATGTCTCTGTTGGGATCCTTTTCATAATGTTCCACAAAGTAGGTTTTTCTTTCTTTATTTTATGATATTGTCAGCAGTTCTGATTATTTTGTCAAATCCCTGTATCAGATATCAGTTTAATCAAACACTTCGAGTCGAGAATTTACAGTGTGACTCAAAAAGAAGAAACTCTCCAGACTAACGGTGACACTTGCATCACCTCATGAAGGATTTTAATATGTTGTTCAAATTGGACTGTTAATAGTTTTAATTTGTTGTTGTAGTTTAGAGAGGACTATGTTTGTAAATAGTAACTTCTAGTAACTGCTCACATGACCTCGTACGGATATATTGTTAATATACTCACATTAAAATGTTGTGTGTATATAGGGTAATTTATTTTTAATACATGTATGGCATAACTTCAAAACAGCAGTTAACTAGACGTTGGAGTAATGAAGAATGTTCATCACCTTTTTTGTTTGCTTTTAATGTTGGTGGATGATGCTGGATGAAGTAACAGGAAGTTCTTCCATTACCTGCACTGTTGAAGCTGTAGGTTGGACTTTTGCTGGTGCAATAGTTTTGCCAGAATAGTTTATAGAAACATTTTGTGCATGTGTATTTTAGCCGTTTTATTGCTTCCCATTTATTCTCAATACTAAACTAGACACTCTTCATGTCTGACCATGTGGTATCCATGTAAATATGTCTGTGCATATGTGTAGATACTGAATCACTAACTGAATGATTGAAACCTATTTAATATTCTATTTAACCGTCAAAGCAAATTATCATATGTTGATTTGTTATGAATACACACACAGTTATAGAAATGTATGTTTTAAAGGTCAAATTTTGTTGCCCACTTTTGGTCTTGGAGGAACTTTATTTTGGCGATGCATCACATTATTTTAACCTGAACAGAATGTCTCTATAAATTTTGTTGTTTTAATGTCTCCAGATATTTTATGTAACACTGAATCTTTGAATAAAGACCGTTTGCCAGTGTGTCCTGTTTGTTGATTTTGACCTCAGGTGTTGACGCTCCCAGCCCTCCTGCCTGTGTGTGTTTGTTTGTGACAGCTGGAAAGATGAGAAAAGACTGTTGACGTCACTTTAAAATGAGCAGACGCACCTCGGTATTGCACTTCTTGGCATGTAGTTTAGACTATTCCAAGCTATAAGGGACTGTTCGCTATTAATGAGTGGGGAGGGGGTGATGCAAAGTGGTAATAAAGTCACCCCCCAGATACCCCCCTCCTCTGATAAATAAAAAACAGTCCCTAAATCCAGTCGTCAATTTTAAAAGCTCTTTATTATGAAAGCAAATATGTACTGTAATATTTAGGAACATAAAACCTACTGAAAATGGAAATTGGAAAAAATGTAATTACTGCTGAATAATAATAATAATGATAAACTTTATTCAAAACACAGTTAAAAATATTTACAAAAGTGAATAAAAGATGAAGCAAATGAAACAAAATAGAAGTGATAAAAACAGAATTCACATAACAGAGTAAAACACACAATGATCTCCTCAGGCAGGTCACTCCAAACTCAAGGAGCTCTGACTGCAAAGGCTATGTCACCTTTGTGCATTAATCTAGACCTGGGCTAGTGATAGCCAAATGAGGCCTCATGAACCACTGTCTTTATTTTCTGAAGCCACCAGATGGCGCTGTCTGTTAAACAAAGGATTGAAAGCACACTTCATTGCAAGTCATTCAGCCTTTATATTTAAACCAAGAGCGCCATATGGTGGGGTCAGAAAATAAAGAAAGTGGTTCATGAGGCTTCATTTGGCCATCACTACTGGGGACAACAAGAAAAGATGCGTCTGAAGATCTCAGGGTACAAGAAGGAACATAGGGCGTTAAAAGATCTGTTATATAACTTGGAGCAAGGTGTCTCAGGGCTTTGTAAGTAATCAATAAAAAAGAGGTAGCCAGTGTAGGGAAACCAGGATTGGTTCGATGTGGTCATGTTATCTCGTCTGTGTCAAGATTCTGGCGGCAGAGTTTTGGATGAGCTGGAGATGGGAGAGGGATTTTTTACTGATGCCAGAGAGCGAGGAATTGAAATAATCTAATTGACTGGTTATGAATGCGTGAATAACAGTTTCCAGATGTTTGTTGGAAAGGAACGACCTGATCCTGGAGATGTTTCTGAGATTAAACTACTGACTCTACATGTTTGTCCAAACTGAGGGTTTGATCAAAAAATGACACTGAGATTCCTGCAGTGTAGAGTTATTGAGTGGGGCAGAGCACCAAGATCTGTTTGATATGTGAGCATTTGCACTATGTTGTCCTATGATCCATATCTCTGTCTTGTCAGCATTAGGTGTACTCAAACATCCAGTCAATCTGTGGTTTGACCCAGGGAAAATTACAATAATAATCATTCAAGTTTTTTTGTGATCTCCTGGGACATCAAATAACATATTGAAGGTATACCATCATATATTTAGTGGATCAAGGTAAATTCAGGGCTCAAAATTTGGGGCCATTGTATCTGCCTCTGAACATGATATTTTCATATAATTTATGTCTAATCATTGTTTTTTAGGATGTTCCTTCACATATAACCATCAGATATGACCTGTTCTGAATGTATGTGCACTTAGGGAGTACCCTTACCCCAAAATTATTTTTCCCTCATCCAATCAATGTCAAAAAAGTGAGAAAAATTAGGCTATAAAGTAGTGATGGCCAAATGAGGCCTCATGAACCACTGTCTTTATTTTCTGAAGCCACCAGATGGCGCTGTCTGTTCAACAAAGGTTTGAAAGCACACTTCATTGCAAGTCCATCAGCCTTTATCTTTAAACCAAGAGCGCCATATGGTGGGGTCAGAAAATAAAGACAGTGGTTCATGAGGCTTCATTTGGCCATCACTACTATAAAGCATATTACTAGTGATAGCCAAATGAGGCCTCATGAAGCACTGTCTTTATTTTCTGAAGCCACCAGATGGTGCTGTCTGTTCAACAAAGGTTTGAAAGCACACTTCATTGCAAGTCCTTCAGCCTTTATCTTTAAACCAAGAGCGCCATGTGGTGGGGTCAGAAAATAAAGACAGTGGTTCATGAAGGCTTCATTTGGCCATCACTACCTGCCAGCTCACACGCACTCTGTATCTCCACATCAACCCAACCCTTCACCTCCTCAACTTACACCAAATGATGACACCATAGATAATAAAGATATACAGACTTTATACCAAGTTTAGATGCACCTGTAGGAGCAGTGTGGCACAAAGTGTAAGTGGACAATTTAGGAAAAGACACCAAATATGTTGAATAAGTGTACATGGACCCTCCAATATTAACATCATTTCACTCAGACCATGTAATTGTAAAATGTTGATTTGCTTTTGATCTTGTAAAAATAATGTTCCACTAAATTCAGGAAGGTATACTTTTAATATATGATGCAGGAGGGTGTTAGGACCAATACAAACTAGCTTGGGCCCATTTTTAATTTTTTTTTTATTATTATTTTTTGTGGTTTGAAATCCCCCCTTGATTTTATAGCCTGCGGTGTTTATTTTAAGATGAAGCCAAGAGGCCACGCCCCCGCACAGGTGACAGGTGATCTGAATCAGGACTCTGATATGCGCTCTTTTCTCCAACTCTTGACAACTTTATGGGTGTGTGGAGCATACGGCCATCCCTCAATTGTTCGCCTTTAACACTGAAACTGTCCCTGAAATCAGAGCAGCATATTATCGGCAGTAATCCAACGCCGGTGAGGTCCGCCTCAGGTGTGGTCAAACCGGTCTGACGTCTCCGCGTTAGGAAGGGGAAGAGAAGGACCGTGTTGTACAACTTTTAAAACTCCTTTCTTTCTGTCGTTGCCCTGCAACGCAGCTTTTTTAACTGTCATTTTGTTTTCCCGTCACAGCACTGAGGTAGGCACCCTGCATTGTCATTGTGTTGTTGCTGGCGTTTTGTGTTGTCAAACATTCCTCTGTGCGATGCGCTCTCGTGGTACATGTGACGTTGTTTTGTGTGAGAACGCCGTGTGCCAGACTCCGTTCAAAGTTGGGCTAATTTAAAGGTTTGCTACCTTTTCGATAAGTTACACGGTAGAGAAAGCGATTTTGACATTGTACACCACTCGTCTTAACACATGTTTCAATTCGGCGAGTTCATCTTTACCAAAGCGTCACTTTTACCAAACTTCCTTTAACAGTTTGTTCAGATTTCACACCAGTTTTCTCAACGTGTGGGCGGGCGCTAGCCGGTGGTGTGACCTACATAAAGTTGAAATACTCCCAAAACATGCGCTTTATTTTGGAGCTGATGTAGCCGAATTTATCTTTAGAACCTATGTTTTCACAAAAGCAGTTAACGCATACTTAAAAAGTTACCCAAGATCACCAGTTACACATAAAACCTTTAATTGTCAAATCTTCGAACGGAGTTTGGTGTGTGGGTCCATTCAGAGAAAAAAGGGTAGCCACGACCTTGGCAGCTGATCAGTACAATAGTACTATTGTGCTAAAAAAACAGCATGACCCATGTGAGCCATGTTTGCCTCATCACTAATATTTCAAACCCTATTTGTTTCAGTATGAATATGTTCAGAAGACATAAAGGCTCAACAGCCCCAACTCCAGTGGT